CACACACACACACACACACACACACACACACACACACACACTATTCGCTTTACAGACGCGTAAAAAGGAACCGAGACACAGATAAGACACGCACATGATCACATGACCAGTCCCCCACAACCCAGTCTGACCACCTTTCAACCAGCAGGCTCCTAATATTTTTAATTATAAAATTATACGATGCACGGGGGGGGGGGAAAAGTGGTGCATTTGCTGCGAAACAACAAGTCTTGCTTTAAAAATAAACTGTAAATCAGTGTAAAGCTTTCGGAAATATAACAGATAATCAGGCTAGATTAACCCTATAAAGCCAAATGTGTCATATCTGATCCGGTTTCTTTTGGATGTGAGACTTTCTTCATCATTCAGTGGTAAAAGCTTTGCTCAAACCCCTGTTGTACACATTCAGATATACCTGATAACAGCCAGTAGAAGACTACACCAACATAGATTTCTGACTTATTGCACGCTAATTTGATCAAAATAATTTCAGTTTTTTTTTCTTCATATCTTGTTGAGGGGCCAAAGAAAGACTTCAGACTAAAAAAATCCAATATTCTTCCTATTTTTCTTGGATCAGGCTTTAAAGGGTTAAGATATGGTGGGAATTTAGTTGTACAAGGTAGTCAACTTGTTATTAATAGCCTATCAAACCCTCATTTCTTTAGTAAGAATTTTATAGGTAAAATTAAAAGGGTTAAACTTGACAATAACACTGCGTCTCATCTCTGAACTGGTTAACCCTTTAAAGCCTGATCCAAGAATAAAACAAAAGAGAAATTGTGTATTTTTCTTGGATCAGGCTTTAAAGGGATAAAAACTAGCTATTTGCACAGTCACTGTGGTACCAAACTGACGTATCGGTCCATGTTTGATGTTCGTATCCGCAAAGAGTGAATAAAAAATGGAAGAAACAATGGAAGAAAACTGCTAAATGTTCCCTTTTAATTAATATTGAAAGTTAACCCAAATTGTTTGTTTTTTTTATCTCTAACCCTATAATGCCAAATGTGTATTTTTCTTGGATCAGGCTTTAAAGGGTTAAACTTGAAGATAAATCTAAAAGAATTATCCATTATTCAAACGGACCTTAAAAGAGATTGAGGACCAAAATTAAGTCCATAATGTGTATATTGTGTTTTAGCTCAACTTGGTTTTTAAGCTAAACGTCAAACGTCAAAATAATTTCAGTTTTTTTATTTCTTCATATGTTGTTGAGGGGCCAAAGAAAGACTTCAGA